AGAAGGAGGAGTTACTAATATACAAGAAGAAGAAATTACTTATGTAAGAAAAAGGTAACTAAACTAATGTTCTAAACTTTACCTATTATGTTTTAAATTTTTTTCTAAAGTTTTTCATTATTTTCTAAAGTTTTCCCTTAAGTTCTAAAGATTTGTATTATGTTCTAAAGTTTTCCATTATGTTCTAAAGTTTTCCATTATGTTCTAAAGTTTTCTCTTATGTTCTGAAGATTTGTATTATGTTCTAAAATGTATCCATTATAGTTTATGTTTATCTTATCCCTTTATATTTGCACTCTATTTAATGTTAATAATATTCTAATTATTTTTGATTGTTTTTAAAGGAAAGTTGAAAACGTTGAAGCGGAAGTAATTGATAGATCGGAATTTGAGAAGCATATTGAAAGTAAAAGTGTTGCTATAAGACATAGAAAACTTCCAACAAGGCTTCAACCACCTCGAAAATTGCAAAAAAAGGAAGGAAGAGAAAAAGATCAAGAAGAAGGAAAAGATCAAAAAGAAGAAGAGGGTAATAATGTAGAGGATGATGACAAGAATAATGATAGTAAAGATGATGGTGAGGATGATAATAAGGGTGATGTAAAGATGAAAGAGAAAGATGAAAAAGAGGAGATGGAAGATGATAGTGAGGAGGAACAAAAAATCAATAAAAAAAAATCAAACTCAGGTAATAATACTCTTTAATCTTTACAATCTTTATTTTTATGTTCTAAAGTGCACGCTTATGTTCTAATTTTGCTTATCTATGTTCTAATTATGTTTATCTATTCATGGTGAGGATGTGAAGAAGAAGAAAAGAAAGATTGAAAAAGAAGAAGATGGTGAGGATGTCCAAGTAGTAGAAGCTAATGAGCAAGATAAACTAGTTAAGAGGCAACCTTATCAAAGAGTACCTCCTACTCAATTCATGAAGGATGTGTTGATAAATCTTTCGGAAAAACAAAAGCAAGCTATTCGGAACATTGGTTTTGGAGGCTTTTTGGAATTGGATTTACCAATCCATATTAATTCTACGTAAGTAGTAGAATGTTATGTTCTAAAATCATATTCTAAAATCATAAGTATTATCAATGTTATGTTCAAAATTATGATTTGTCATGTTTGAATTGCTATACACTAATGTTCTAAATTATAAGATTATGTTCTAAATTAGTTATGCTCTAAATTTTGTGCATATGTTCTAAATAATATGATTATGTTCGAAATTAGCTATGTTCTAAATTATGTGCATATGTTGTAAATTGTATGATTATGTTCTACATTATGTGCATATGTTCTAAATAATATGATTATGTTGTAAATTACTTATGTTTTAAAGTTACTTCTTGTATTCTAAAATTATGAACTCTCATGTTTGAATTGCTATACACTAATGTTCTAAATTAATTTTTTGTTATGTTCTAATGTATGTTTATTATGTTCTAAAATAGACTTTTTTTATTATATAATGTTCTAAATTATGTTCAAAAGTTTAAATATTATACTAAATGTTTTAATCTTCTATGTTCTAAAGATTGACTATTATATTCTAAATATAGCTGTATTGTGCTTTAAATCTTACATTTTTCATTATAATTCTAGGTTGACAGAAAACTTGGTTACGAATTTTGACACGGAGAGATGTTGTTTGATGTTACCAAAGACAAAACAAGAAATCTTTTTGGAGGCAATTGATGTTCATTTGGCTTATGGGTTGCCATTGGGAGGCAAAAGGATTGAGCAACCAAATGATGAGTCAAATCTGAAATGGAGCAAGTTTCTAAAAGCTTGGAGAAGCAAGTTTGGCCTCAAAAAAGTATGATGATATAATGTGGTTATGTTTTAAATTTTATGTTCTAAAGTATGAATTTTATGTTATAAATTGTATGTTTTAAAGTGCTTTGCTTATGTTCTAAAGTGTTTTTTGCTTTAAAATAGATCTATTATCTCCATAGGTTTTAATTTATATGTTTTTTTTTACCTCTAAAAGGGAAGTCCAACCAACAAGAGATTGATTGACAGAATTCAAGAATTGAAGAAGGAAAAATCAGTTTCTGATGAATTTCTTTGGAACTTTGTGGTATGTGTTGTCAATTGTTGCATTCGATCAACAAACAACCCACAACTATACATTAAATTCTTGTATAGTTGTATGGATGTAAAGAAAATTGCTGAATTGGATTGGTGCACATTTGTGATTGAGCACTTGAAAGATTCTGTAAGTGTATGGAAGAAGGGAAATTCTTACTTTACAGGTCCTTTACCTTTTCTAATGGTAAGTTTTAAATTCTTACCATTATGTATATATATTATTCTTGTTATGTTGAAAATGTGTGAAAAATATTCTAATTAATTCTTAACATGTACTAAATAGGTATTTTATTTTGATCGTCTACAAAGAGGAGGGTTAGAAAAACCAAGAAAATGTCCACTAATTTCGGTGTGGACAAAGGAAAGGATTCAAGTGAGATATAAGTTTGAAAAAGATCATGGATTTGGATATGGAAAACTCTTGGAAAGAATGGAATCAATTGTGGTATGATATTTGTATATGTTTATGTTTAAACACTACACTTTATGTTGTTGTTTTCTAAATTTTATAATTTATATACTAGAAGGCACCAAAAGGAAAAAAGAGACAACCAAAACAAAAGGAAAAAGAGAAGAGAATGGAAAAATCATCAATAGGTTCTAGTTCTACAACTTCTCGAAATGACATGATGGTATGATTTAGTTTATATTGTAAATTATATTTTATGCTCCATTTAATCCTTTTCTGTTAAATTATCCATGTTATGTCCTTTATGTTCTAAAATATTTTTGTGTTCTAATGAAGGGCTTTTTGAGCAAATTTGGAGATTTGGCAAAAACACTTGCCTCGAATGTTAAAGAGATGTATGGCATGTTAGAACAAGCAAAAGATCTTTTTGTTGAGGAAGAAACAACAGGAAAAATGCAACATCTCATAGACAACATATGGTGCAAGTACACAACAAAGGTATTATAATTATGTTCTAAAGTATTTTCTGGTTGTGTTCTAAAGTATTTTCAGCTTATGTTCTAAAGTATAATAAATTTATATAAATATTATGCATATTATGTTCTAAATTATAATTTCTTATTTTATAGACATTCGTGAACCAAGAAGAAAAGAAAAGCCCTTCTATACTCAGCCAAGATCAACATGTCTTCGATGAACCGGCATTTATTGAAGAATTGGATATGGTTATGGATAAGGCATGGAAGAAATTCGAGGAAACAAGGTCACCAAAGTCACCGACAGTTGGTAATTTCACATGTACATGCTTAATTTCCAAATTATACTTATGTTCTATATTAGATGCTTATGTTTTAAAGTACTTTTTTATGTTCTAAAACATGCGCTTAAATCACATGCTTATGTTCTAAATTATATGATTATGTTCTAAATTAGTTATGTTCTAAATTAGTTATGTACTAAATTAGTTATGTTCTAATTGTTAAGCAGATTTGAGATCAAAGGAAGAGGAAAAAGATAAGAACAAAGAAGAGAGAAATGAAGAGAATAAAGAAAAAAACTTGTTGATTCCCTCACCAGTAGTTGGTAATTTCACATTATTTTCAAATTCATTTTTTATGTACTAATATTTACTAGATATGTTCTAATATTACTTCTTATGCTCTAAATTTTTTCTGGTTATGCTTTAAAGTTAATTCTTAATTTTTTATATTCTAACTATTTCTAGGTTGTCTCCTAATTGTATATATTTCTTATGTTCTAAAGTTACTTTTTATTTTCTAATTATTTTTTGCTATTTGCTATAATACTTAATTTTTATGGTGTAATTGCTATGAAGATTTGGGATCAAAAGAAGAAGAAAAAGAGCAGTACAGAAAAGAGAGAAACGAGGAGGAAAAAATTGAGAAGAAAGAGAAAAGGAATGAGGAGTCACCAAAAACCCCAATTCCTCCAAAAAAGAAGCAACCTTTTGATATAACTCCTCCAAGTTTCAAGTTATTGACCCCCTCACCAGCAGTTGGTAGTTTTACATTATTTTCAAACTTTTTTCTTTTGAAATAATATTACTAGATTTGTTTTAAAATTACTTCTTATGTTATAAATTTTTTCTGTTATGTTCTAAAGTTATTTCTGATGTTCTAAATTTTTTCTAAATCAGATGCTTATGTTTTAAACTACTTTCTTATGTTCTAAATTATGTGCATATGCTCTAAATTATATGATTATGTACTAAATTATGTGCATATGCTCTAATAATATGATTATGTTCTAAATTATGTGCATATGTTCTAAATAATATGATTATGTTCTAAATTAGTTATGCTCTAAATTATGTGCATATTTTCTAAATAATATGATTATGTTTGAAATTAGTTATGCTCTAAATTATGTGCATATGTTCTAAATTGTATGATTATGTTCTAAATTATGTGCATATGTTCTAAATAATATAATTATGTTGTAAATTAGTTATGTTCTAAAGTTACTTCTTGTGTTCTAAATTTTTCTGGTTATATTCTAGTTATTTCTAATGTTCTAAATTTTTTCCAACTATTTCTATGTTGTGTCCTTATTGTTTCTACTTATGGTTTGATGTCCCAGAAAATCAAGAAGATAATGAAGCAGAACTCACTTACGAAGAAGTGACAGCAAATGTTCTAAATTGTGCTTTTCTAAATCCAGATCATCCACCTACATTGGATGAAGAGGAGAAGCAAGAAGAGGAAAAAGAGGAGAAGAAAGAAGAGGAAAAAGAGGAGAAGAAAGAAGAAAAGGAGAAGAAGAAAGAAGAGGAAAAAGAAGAGAAGCAAGAGGAGAAGAAAGAAGAAAAGGGGAAGAAGAAAGAGGAGGAAAAAAAGGAGATCCAAGAGGAGAAGAGAGAAGAAAAGGGGAAGAAGAAAAAGGAGGAAAAAGAGGAGATCCAAGAGGAGAAGAGAGAAGAAAAGGGGAAGAAGAAAAAGGAGGAAAAAGAGGAGAATCAAGAGGAGAAGAAAGAAAATGAAGGAAGCAAGAATGAAGAGAAGAACAAAGAAGAAAAAAATGAGAACAAGAAAGGGTAATCATTTTGTAAACTTTAAAACAAATGTTGGTTATGGTTTAGTTAAATTTTAATTTAGAACTTGGTAATAATAAATTTTGGTTTGATTTGGTTATGGTTTTTGTTATCAATAAATTTTCGTTTGATTTAGTTATGGTTTTTGTTATCTATGTGATATTTTTTAATTGAATTAAGTAGGAAACAAGGAGAAGAAAAAGGAGAAGAAAAGACACGGAAAAAAAGAGGAAAGGATAAGCTTCCAATGTACTTGCGTTCACCTTTCATGGTTGAACATGAAAAACTTTTCAAGAATGTGGACAATAGAAAGGTAGCTGAGTATGCGTTTGCTCAAGGAGATAATAAGTAAGACTTTAAAACTTTAAAATTATATGCTTATATTCGAAGCTATATGCTTATGTTCTAAGCTATATGCTTATGATCTAAGCTATAAATTATGTTCTAAACTTCATTCTTATGTTCTAAACTGCGTGTTCTAAGCTACGAGATTATGTTATAAAGTACATGTGTAAAACTATATGCTTATGTTCTAAAATAGGTACTTATGTTCTAAACTATATTCTTATGTTTTAAATTATGTGTTTATGTTCTAAACTACATGCTTATGTTCTAAACTACATGCTTATGTTCTGATTTTATTGTTCTGATTTTAGGGAGCTTTTGTATGCTGATAACATGGGGACAACGATTACGAGAGATGAGATTCATAGTCTCATAGAAGATAAGCACATGTTGAACAATGTTGTGGATGCTTATGTTTGCCTATTGAATTTTGAAAATAAAAGACGTGGTGTAGACAAGAAGAGTAGATTCTTTTTCAGTACTGAATGCTATGTATGTTTTCGAACTTAAAATTATAACTATGTTCTAAGAGTAGATTCTTTTTGTTTCTCATATAGATTATACTATGCACCTATGTTCTAATTACTTATGTTTTAATTTCTTTTTCTTTTTCAGCTCATACGTTGTACAGAAAAATACTTCAAATCAAATGAAAGGCAAGATGATAGAATGAAGGCTTTGTTTGATAGAATGCAACAAGAAATGACAACGACCGAAGTAACAAGCTTCAAAAGCATTCAATTGGTAATTTGGTATCTTATTATGTTGTACTTTTTTCTTATTATATGTTCTAATTATTGGTTTTGTTTATGTTCTAATTATTTTTATCTATGTTTTAAAGTATCTACTTATGTTCTAAACTACTTATTTATCTTCTAAACTACTTACTTATGTTCTAAACTACATGTTATAAAAATTATATGCTTGTGTTCTAATCTATATGCTTATGTTCTAAAATGCATGCTTATGTTCTAATTTTGCTTATCTATGTTCTAATTCTGTTTATCTATTAGGTTTTCTTCCCGGTCGTTTTACCAGATCACTACTATTTGCTGTGTGTCAACTTTGTGGAAGGAACATTTGATTTGATTGACAACAGATTTCTTCCACCAAATATTCCTTTTCACAATAAATATGGAAATTACCATAGATTAATGGTAAGACATCAAGTTTACATTTTTTTAATTATACTTTTGTTCTAACTTTTGCCTTATATGTTCTACAGTTTTTCTTTATGTTCTAAAGTTTACCTTATATGTTCTAAAGTTTATCCAATTTTTCAGTTGAATGCATTTGCTGATTTCGTTCACTCAATTGACTCAAATATAAAGAGTGACTTTGTATCCTCCTTCAAAACAAGAAACTTGAGTATGTCATGGAAGAGCAATAAGAACAAACATGATTGTGGAGTGTTCCTGTTGAAGCACATGGAAACATATGAAGGAGAATCTGTAAAACAATGGAATTCGGGACTAGAATTAGACAATGTAAGTTTAAAACATAAGATACATGTTTTAAATTAGTTTCGTTCATGGTTTTGGTGTTATGGTTTTAGTGTTGTGGTTTGGTTTGGTTTGGTTATTGTTTAGATATATTATGGTTTATTATATTTATTTATACTTATATGCTAAATTATATTCATGTTCTAAATTATATGCTTATGTTCTAAAGTATTTCTGTTTATGTTCTAAAAGTTACTCTTTTTTTTTTTTTGCAGTTTGACCAAATGTTTATGTTTATGTTCTAAAAGTTACTCTTTTTTTTTTTTTTTGCAGTTTGACCAAATGAAAAAATTAAGAGTGGAGTATTGTGGGAAGATAATAACAGCAGAAGTAAATGAAGAACGGAACAAAGTGATTAGGAGATCAAAAAAGTGGTCAAAGGAGAACAAAATGGATATATGATTGTTAAGATCTTAAGTTTATATTTGTAGAGAGATATTTGCAAAGAATATAACAGTAATTTTTTATGTTCTATGTATTTACCTGTTACAAGAAATATATTGTTGAATCATATTAAATGCTAAAATTTTAATATAAAATATATCATATAAACTTATATGCTAAATTATATTCATGTTCTAAATTATATGGGTATGTTCTAAAGTATTTTTGATTATGTTTTAATAATTATATGCTTATAAAGTTAGGATATTAGAATATATTATTATATATTAATTTTGACTTAAAACTTAAAGTGTAGAACATTAGAACATAAGAAAATTAAAAAAAAGTAACAAGAAATGACAACAGCCAAAGTAACAAGATTCCAAAGCATTCAATTGGTAACTTGATTCTAATTATATCTTATTATGTTGTACTTTTTTCTTATTACATGTCCAAATTATTGATTTTGCTAATCTTCTAATTATTTTTATCTATGTTCTAAAGTATTTGCTTATGTTCTAAACTGGCTGCTTCTAATCCATTACTTTTGCTTTATTTTTCCTTTTGAATACAATGCATACACTCTTTAGTGCATATCTAAGAAGGCATATGTAAATCAATGTTAAGAAACTTGAATAAATAAAAGTTGATTAAAGCAAGATTCAACTAAATGTTGTTTAATAAAGGTATCTAAAATGCTTGTACTATCATTACTCGTAGTTCAAATTGACTTAATAAAACAACTTATAATTACGAAAAGGGGGGAAGATGAAAAGACAGGAGATGTTATAAAACATTATAATCAACTTTAATTAACATAAAAATTGATAAGAAAAACACTAGTAGAGATACTCTGAATAATAATTGGACAAAAAAGAAATAAAAATATATTGTTTCTAAAAGTAAATAAATTGAGTTCTTATATTTTAAGAATTACATGAATAATATTTTACGTGCTAGTAAATGAGATATTGTTTCTAAATATATAACATCTCATGCAACTGGATTAATAGTATATTCACCAACCTGTAAAGAAAAAAAAATAAAACAATATTAGAACATAAGCACATAATTTAGCATTAAAAAATGTTATAACATGCCATTTCTATTAGTTTAGAACACATGATATTATATAGAGTAAAAACTTTAGAACATTTAAAGAAACCTTTAAAACATATAAAGAAAACTTTAGAACATATAAAGAAAATATTTTGAACATAAAGAGAAAAGTTAAAATATAAAGGAAAACTTTAGAACAAAATGAATAACTTTATATTCTAAACATTAGAGCATATTAAATTACACTAAAACAGAAAGAATAAACATTAGAACATAGAGAAAACACTTTAGAACATAGAAAAGTAACTTTAGAACAAAGAGAAAACACTTTAGAACATATTGAATTACTTTAGAACATATATGAATAACTTTATGTTCTAAACTTGCTTAAAACATAATTACTTTAGAACAAAATAAATATAAGAAAATTAAAAATAAAGTTTACTTACAATATCACTTGACTTTTCCAGGGCAATTACGACTATCATGATAACCAAGCTCCCCACATGCTCTACATAATCTCTTCTTCTTTTGACTTTGTTCAATAGACTTTTCTCTGTCACTCTTCATTCTTTTGTCACTATTTGGAACATGAACCTCATTTGGAACATGGACATCATTTGGAACATGGACATCATTTGGAACATTTACCTGATTTGGAACATGAACCTGATTTGGAACATGGACATCATTTGGAACATTGACCTGATTTGGAACATGAACCCCCGTGCCTTTGTTCTTCGAAATTTTAGGAGGTTTGATTAAAACATTAGAAGGTAGACTAGCTCCAATAAGCATTTCAATGTCTTTAACTTTGCTCGAAAGATTGTTGCTTCCATTTGTTTTCTTCTGTTCCAAATCTGCCCTCATGGCTCGAAGTTTTTTGACAAGATCACTAAGATCATCTTCATTGTTTTGCACTAAACTCACACAAGCATGAATTTCAGACCACAAATCATTTAATAACATTTTCTTATCTACTGCATTAATACATTCCTCCAACACATTACCCTCTAAATCAAAAATGGGCTTCTTATAAGCCATTGTACACCATCTATTTAGAATGTAGGCCTTGGGAATTTTTTCTAACATCCTTGCCTTCCACACCCAAATCATATGCCTACAAGGCACACCATCACGTTCAAATTTTTTACAAAAACACTTGGTATCAAAGGTAGTTGGATCAAAAACAACATCAAAAGTCCTCCTTCTAGTTCCTTCCCTCAAATTGAAAATGTAAAGCTCATTGTCCTTCTTCATCTCCTCAACACCACAATTAAAACATCCAATTTCAAGCTCATATTGAAATTCATAGAAAATTGTTGTTGTAAACAATTCAGAAGCATCTTTCTCTAAAGGAATTGGAGTCTTACACTCCGGACGCTTATTCTTCGAATCATTATCCATTTTATTTTGAGTGTGCCTTTGAGCATCCAATGCACATTCAAACCTATAGAAAATAGAAATTTACTTTAAAACATAGAAGATAATTGTAGAACATAGAGTGAATTACATTAGAACATATAAATATACATGACATGTTTATTATGATCTAAATATTATTAAAACATAAAGAGAAAAAGAAAACATAAAAGAGAATTATAAAATAAATAGTAAAACTATAAAGCATAAAAAGAAAACTTTAGAGCATACAAGGAAAACTTTAGAACATAAAGAGTAACTTTAGAACATATATAGACAATTACTTATTACCTCATGTAGAACTCAATCAAAGTGAGATGGGGATTTGTGAACATAGTGAAAAAATTATTTTCACTTTCTGATCTAGATGTGGTTCTCATAATGCCACCCAAAAATAAATCTCTGAAATACGCTGGAATCCACATATCACGTATGTTGTACATGTATGTCAACCATTCATGATCGTTCAAATGGAATTCTGAAATAACTTTGTTCCACTTTTCTTCAAATTCTGCCGGCTCAATCTCTAAATGCCAAACACATGAACACAGTTTTTTCAAGAAATCAGTGTCTTGGGCAATCGCCCGACCTACTTTTTCAGGCACCTTTTTCATAATATGCCACATACAAAACCTATGTTCTGTAGTTTGAAAAACATTACGAACAGCAACTTTCATTGCAGGGTCTTGATCGGTAATCAAACACACAGGCTCGTTATTTCCCATTGCTTTAAGAAAAGTTTTGAAAACCCATTCAAAAGATGATATATCCTCATGAGCTACAAAAGAAGCCGCAAAAGTAACACATTTTTTATGATGATCAACTCCAGTAAATGGACCAAAGATCATATTATATCTGTAACATACACAAATTATTTATGCAGAAAATAGAGGTAAACTTTAGAACATAGAGGTAAATTGTAGAACATAGTGGTATACTGTAGAACATTAAGGATAAACTTTAGAGGATAGTAATTTAATTTAATTATTAAACGTGGCAGTAATATAGTTGTTTTAAAACATAATGAATTACTCTAAAACATAAACACTAAACTAAAAATATACAATGTAGTTTTAAAAACTTATAAGTAAACTTTAGAACATATAGACATAATGTTTAGAACATGATGGATATTAGTTTAGAACACAAAGAATAAAGTGTAAAACACAAAAGCATAATGTTTAAAGCATAAAAGCATGATGGATATATTTTAAAGCATAAGGTAGAACATTAGCAATATATGTTTAGAACATAAGGCATACATAGTTTAGAACATAAAGAATATTTGTTTAGAACATCAAAACATGATGGATATTTGTTTAGGAACACAAGGCATGATATTTAGAATATAAGAACATATGTTTAAAAAATTAATATGTAAAAGTAAAATATTAATTACATTATGAAAGAAATTTATATTTAAAACATCACCTGTTTGTTTTGAATGTGGTATCAAAAGAAACCATATCACCAAAAAGTGCATAATTTTTTCGACAGATTGGATCAGCCCATAAAGCTCTACAAAGTCTATCTTCTTCATCAACATCATAGGAAAAAAAAAATGCACTCCAGAGCAATTTCTTATTTTGAAAATTATCCACAAACATTTGGGCATCTGATCCATCAATAAAAGCCTTCAAATCTCTATAAAAATTTTTGAAATCTTGTTTAGATGCACCAACATTATCATGTGATCCAGCTAATTCTTTCATCATAGTATAAGACCTCACAGGACCAACATTTACCTGTTAGAAAAAAAAAATATTACTAAGATTAAGAATTAACTTTAGAACATAGTAAATCAAAACAAAAAAAAACATTATTTAGTACATAAAAATAAATCACCTTTGAATTATCAACAATCAACTTTTTATGCATAATATGCATTTTTCTATTATCCTTCTGAAATTTTGCACAACTTGGAGTATATAAAGGATGATTATGTTCTTCTTTGAAATGAGTTACAACATACTTTCCAGCATCATATCTCATACATATGTGAGCATTGCATCCTACACGAGTGACTAAACGTTTCCTAGTAATACGAACTTTTCCTTCTTCATAAACTGTTTGTTGAGCAATAGGTTTTCTTATTGCCCTAAAACCTTCCTTATTGCAAACTCCATATTGAAAAGCAATTATATCTTTGTTATTCTTCTTCCTTTTAGTAGTAGATTTCCTAGAAGTAAACCCAGCGGCATTTGCATATGCTTTATAAAAACTAAGACCCTCTTCAGGATCTTTAAATATCATCCCCAAACTAGGTTTTAACTCCTCGGGAACACTTGGAATCCATTCCTTAGTGGTACCACCAGGGCTAAATGATCCAACAACCTCTAGAGTACGATAAATATCACCAACTGCATTAGAACATGAAAGTAAACATTAGAACATAAAAATAAACTTTATAATATAAAGAGAAAGATACATAAAAAAACTTTAGAACATACAGAGAAAACTTTAGAACATCAAAGATAAACTTTATAACATCAAGGATAAACTTTAGAACATATAAAATCAGGGACATACTTATAACATAGTGAATTACTTTATAACATACATAATAAAATTTACAATAAAGTGAAAAAATTAAACTAGAAGGTTAACTTTAGAACATACAATGAAAGTAAACATTAGAACATAAAAAGTAAAATTTAAAATTAGAAGGTAAACTTTAGAACATAGAATGAAAGTTTTAGAATATAAAGAGAGAGATATATAGAAAACTTCAGAACATACAGAGAAAACTTCAGAACATTACAGATAAATGTTAGAACATAGTAAAGAAACTTTAGAACATGTAAGTAAATTGAAATTAAAACATTGAAAACAATAAAATTACCTGAATGAGTAACACAGGAAGAAGGATAATTAGGTTGCACACCATCTAAATCCATCAATATGCATAAACCTATTTTGAAAAACACAAATTGTAGCAAAAAAGCAACCAGAAATTAAAATCCATTAAAAATCAAAAATCTGGAAAACAAAATAGGATAAAATCGAAAAAGATGTTGAAAAACTCAAGCAAAGGAAAAAAACAGAAAAATCTGGAAATAAAAAATCTGGAAATAAGCAAAGGAAATAAAATCTAGAAATAAAATTTGGAAAAATCTGGAAATTGAAGAAGAAAAAGAAAACTAGAAAACGAAATTGATGAAATTAATGAAAAAACTCAAACAATGCTCTACCCGTTGAGCTAGTAGGCTAATGTATATAAAACACTTGAACTAGAGGAAAAACTACTAACAACTATATGAGATAATCACAAAAGTAATTTTTTTTTGTTTAATCATATCCTTTTGCACTTCTAAACACTATCTTTAGCATCGTTTATTGTAATTTGATGATCGATTACTTGCATTAAGGTGGGTTCATTATATTGGCTATATAATCAATCTATCATTAGTAGTCCTTTAAAGCAAAAGTTATCCCAAGTTAAGACTAGTGCTAATTAAACAAGCTTTGACAAACATGCTAAGATTGTCTACTTTAGAACACAATGAATTACTTTAGAACATAAAGAGTAAACTTAATATATGCTAAATAAAAGTTTAGAACATGCTAAGATAGTTAAATAATAGTTTAGAATATAATGAATTACTTTAGAACACAGTGAATTACTTTAGAACACAAAGAGTAAACTTTATAACATAGATGGAAAATTTTAGAACATAGAAGGAAAACTTTAGAACATCTTGAATTATTTTAGAACATAATGAATTACTTTATGTTCTAAATTTCCTTATAACATAGTGAATTATGTTCTAAATTTGATTTGCTTAGAACGTAGTAAATTACTTTATGTTCTAAATTTGTTTAGAACATAGCTATGTTCTAAATTTGCTTTTGCTTAGAACATAGTGAACTATATAAAATCTAGAAATAATAAAATTAAAAAAAAAAAAGGAAAAGGAAAAACCACCACCACCCTTTTCCTCTTCCCAGCCACCAAATTCGCCGCCGTCGCTACCCTAGCCGCCACCTAACCTTTCTCTACCCAGCCAACCCTAACCTCGCCGGTGAACAGATCCCCTGTGCCGGAAAATTTTGAGAAAAAATCAAAATAAGAACAAACAATTCGAACAATCAAACAATCGAATTGATAAATAATCGAGCAAAATAAATATACATCGAATAGAAAATCGCCAAAAACAAAATCGAATAGAAAATTCGCAAAAAATCGCAAAAATATTGACGAAAACATGAATTAATCAGTAAAAATCGAACATAAATCGCAGCAAAAATTGAGAAATAAACGCATCAAAATCGCAGCATACAAATCGCAAAAATCAGGGAAATATTTGAGAAAAAATCGCATAAAAACGCAACAAAATCACATCAAATTGCAGCAAAAAATCGCATCAAAATCGCATAAAATTCGTAGCAAAATCGCAGCAAAATATTCGCTAAACAATATTGAGAACAATTACATAGAAAATGCTCAAAATAATCGCATGAAATTAATCGCATCAAAATTGCATGAAAAATCATTAAATTTAAAACAAATCTGATTATAAAATTAATAAACTTACAATAATTAATCCAAAATCTGTGAAAATATCGTGATGAATTTGATGAACTTTCGCCAATCTGTTGAACTGAGGAGAGGGAGAAAGCTGAGAATTTTAGAGAGAGAAAAAGAATTTGAAGGAAGAGGAAAAAGAATTTGAATAAACTCCTTCAAATTACAAAAATGTCATTACTAATCATTCATTTTGAGCGGTCAGATCAAGCTAATTCCACGGTCCAGATTAGTTCTTATATATAATGGGTTCTTATATAGAGGAGGGTTCTTATATGAGCCTTCCTCTATATATATATATATATATATATATATATATATATATATATATATATATATATATATATATATATATATATTACTAAAATAGTGTTCACTTTAAAATATTTCTCAAAATAGTTTTCATGTAGGATTGGAAAACTCTAAACCTAATTTTTATTGCTTCGTATTTAAAGTCTCAATAAAAAAATTATTGGAGTCTCAAAACTATTCTCTAAGGGTTTTAATTCACCATTGTTCCAAACGTTGATGTTTCATGTTACATATTTTTTTGACAACTTATATCCATAACAAATATGCTAGAAACGGACTGCAGCAATCTATTCACTTATTTGAAGCAGAGGAAGCAGTAAATGTCTAGCTTTGGTCGTATCATTGTTAGGGACATCCTTAAGCTACTTGCTTTGTGCTCCTTTATTGATTACTCGCAACTCAGCAGATGTGGGAATGTGGCTGCCCACAAACTTGCTCAAAATAGTAGAGGCTATGAGGATTTTAGAGTTTGGGTATTAGCTCTGCTATTTTGCTAGATATTTTTAGCTTAGCTTAATAAAATTCTTAGTTACTAGCTCTGCTATATAGCCTATTTTACTAGATATTTCTAGCTTAGCTTAATAAGAGCAATTCCAATGGCAAGCTAATTTGACATATAGCTTGGCATGCCACATAAGCTTTTAAGCTAATTGTCATTGTAGCTACTTTGAGCTCCAATGACTAGCAATTAACTTAAAATTTAAATGAATCCACAAGAACGGCCACACCACCACTACTTTGACCGTCAACACCCGACCACCATTTTCCTCATCAACCGTCACTGTCGCCTATACCCACACTAAAATTAATCAGACCTACCCCGAAACCACCCTTACCTCTCACTCAAAACAACCCCTACCCACCGAAAAACCACCCTTACCCACCCAAAAACCACCCTTAGAATTCAACCATAAAACCTTAAATTTAACAATGGTAGTGATAGAATAGCTAGAGGAGAAAGGAGGAGAAATGGGGACGGCAGTGCGGTGGTAAAAAGTGTAGCGGCGAGGTGGCTGAATGGGGAGGGGGATGACCACGGAAGGGGAAGTTGAGGGGAAGGGGCTGAACGTGAAAGGGGAAAGGTGGATGGGGAGGGGATTTTTTTTAATTAAGGTTTTTGTTTTTTAATTAAAATTAAAATCATTTATTTTTAAAAGAAAAATGTTAACAGTAGGCAACACATGTCCAGTTTAACCTATAAAACAGGTTACCAGTTTTTTATTCTATTTATGAAGGATGTGTGTCAAAGGTCATTTTATTCTGGAATAATTAAAAGGTCGTTTTATTTTTGGAAAACTGGTGAAAGGTCGTATTATTCTTGACAATTTTTTCTAATAAAATAAAGGAAGTATATACTATGTATAACGATATTTTAGGCAATTTAGGTTACAATAATATACTCCATATATATTTAAATTCGTGATTTAGAAATATAGATTCTAGAATACCAGTCCTATTTAAAAAGGAAAGAAGACAGCACGACATCAACTTGGAGTCTTATTGTACAAAAAAAGCGATAAAACTTACGTACATATCTTTTCCTAGCCTCTATCTAATCTATATATATTCATATCTATCCTATGACAATTCTCACAATATAATTGACCTCTCTTATATCTTAATTCCTAAAATTTTGCACGAAAAATAAAACATCACATACACACTTCAATATATAAACATGTCATCAAGTTTACACCCACAAACAAAGCTCATAAATTTAAGACTCTTTCAATGGAACGACGTCGCTACTAAGAAGCACAAAGCTGTTAGGCATGATGAACGTTTGTTTGCCTTCAACTTCACCGTGAATTCTCAAAGAAAAATCATCAATGTACCATGACCTTTCTCCTATAATCAAAATTTTAAGCTTTGTTATCTTTTTAAAGATAATATACACAATTTAGCAAAACAAATAATTAGTAAGGCTTATGTCTTTGACCCTAAGACAACTAAGTTACTTGCTCAACAAGTCGCCGATTATATGATGAGTTGCTATAGATTTCGCCCTTCGAGGACTAATCCTCGTCGTCCTAGGCTTGTTTTTGTCACGGATCTTGATCTTGATGTTGATGGTGACGAGCAACTCGAAGAGGAGACTATTAAAAATCATAAGGAGGTTGTTCTTAATGGTCTTCATCGTTTGGTTGAACCTTTTATACGAGTTGAACAAGACAATAATATGAATACTAATCATGGATGGCTTTTGCAAGACGTTTCGGTTGAAGAGGTAAAACGACAAGAAGTGAATAGTCATCAAGTGTTGGAAAGCTTAGTTGATAGCTTTAGTCAACCTCATCCATATCTCCGATTCGAGCCGTTTATTAGACCTACTAGGGTTGCACCACCCCGGTTGTTTGTAGAGCCTACTAGCGATGGTTTTCGACCACACACCTTAAATATAGATGTTAATTACACCTTTATTGAAGAACAACCTTGTAACGAGGGTGATGGTAACATAATGTGCACATATTCGGATGTAGAGGAGGTTGATGATAACAATTTAGAAGAATTCAATCATGTTCTTAATATTTTAAAGGTGTAGATTCGAGTAGAAGACGAGAATAGTTGTTCTAATGAGGATGGGAAACGAGCATCCAAACGTGCTAAGAAAGTTGTGCAAAATCATACAACATTATTGAAGAGTTTATCAAAGATCAAACCAACACTAGTAAAATTATTAGCAAAAGAAGAGGAATTAAGTGAAGATAGTATGTGCTCGATTTGCTTTGAGAAGATGTCAAGTGAAGAGGAAATCATAAAGATAATTCGTTGTAAACATGTATTTCACCGTGAATGTTGATTTAATTGGCTTCCGAAGAAACATTCTTGTCCTTATTGTAGATCGAGTAGCTTAGTAGATGTTTATTATTGATTAATTAGGTAATAATTTATTATAGGTTTATTTAAATATATTACCAATTTCCTAGCATAGGTTTCAATAATTAGTATATAGCAATATTCTTCTAATGATTTTTTGGGTGTTATTTTTAGGTTTTGTCATTTCAAAGTATATTAAATTTATTGTTCATATCTATGTCATTAAATTTGTGTATAAGTGAGTATTTTGCATTGCTCTTGAACCATAATCATTCGTATTGCCTGCTATGTTAATAAGGCATAGCATATATATTTCTTTAATTACCCTTGCTTGTTAAATTAAT